CCAAACTAACATTGGTCCACAATTTTATTTTAATTGAGTTAGCAAATCTCTGATTCAGCCCTTTCCTGTGGTTACCTGCCAATGGTCCTGGGCCACACCTTCCAGACCATTGAGCACCTGGAAAATACTGCTGCTTTCTAGAAGAAGACTCTCTTGTTCATTCATCAGAGGTGATAGCTTGACCTGGTCAAGGATATTTATTGCTCCAACTATTGCTACTGAATTAAAAAGAAGAATTAGTGTAAATTCATTATTATTTTAGTTTGTGACCTTGAACTTAACCAATGGTATGGTTGCAATGCACTTTTAAAATTTTTTTTAGTTGTAGATGGACAGCATGCTTTATTTTATTTGTTTATTTTTATGTGGTGCTAAGGATTGAACCCAGTGCCCCACACGTGCTAGGCAAGTGCTCTACCACTGAGCTACAGCTTCAGCCACGCCATGCATTTTTATTTGGGCATAAAATAATGATGACTAACTTTGAAGAAGTTGTGATTTGAGATCTCACTATGAGTCATCTACCACTATTGCCAGTGTAGATGGACAGTAAAAACTGCTTCCTCAGAGATTTTCTTCTGGGTGAGTGTCAGCTCTGAGTATCACAGAGTTCTTTCACCCTGAGAATCAGGAGAGGGTGATCGGCTGTAGAATCTTAGCTGTTACTAAGTGAGCTGTGACCAAAATAGTTTGTTTCAAGTGTAGGAAGTGATTTTCGGGTCAGGTGTGGTCATACATGTGCACACAGCTGTCAGGACTCATCAGAACTCAGCAACCAGGCACTTAAGAGCTACATCTTTTAAGACTGAATACAAATTAGACCTCCACTGAAAAACTGTGGGTTGGGGGTGTGGCTTAATGGTAGAATGCTTGTCTAGCATACACAAGGCCCTGGGGTTGATCCCCAACCCAATGAATGAATAAATAACACTAAAAGCAAACAAATAAAACAAGGATAGAAGGTCACAAGTTCAGGAGAATGATTGCTCTTCATGGAAAAAAAAGATAAGATTTATGAATGGGAAAGACACCTAGCCAAGGATAGTATACTTCAATATGCTCATAAGGAAATGCTCTTTTATGGAAGTAAAGTGGTATCCTCTTAAAAAACGTCAGTTGCATTAAAAAATAAAGACCATGAAAATGTTTCAGATCAAGGCAGAAAATGCTATAAAGAAAAACATTATTAAAGAGTAGATTTAACTATTATCAGTTTAGATGTTTTAAACTGACAACTCTGCTATGGTTGCATAAGACGGTATCCCTAGACTCAAGAAATGCATTCGGAAGTATTTAGGGGTGAAGAGCCATGATGTATGTAACTCACTCTGAAATAGTTTACAAAGGAAAACTATGTGTATATGTGTGAAAAATATATGTGTGTGTATACAAAAGAATTTCCTTATTGCTTACCTTGAGAACAAAAGAAAAAAAAAAGGATGTTTTGTCCTTGTTGGGTTTGGGTGACAAAGCAAGTTCAGGACATGTGTTTTTCCAACATCTGTGTCTCCAAACAAGGAGGACTTTACCACGACCCGTCCTTCAATCAGTCACTCCTGAAAGCCACACCTACCCACGCTTGGGAAGCATGAGTGAGCTGAAAGGAGCTCTAAAGCCATATGGTTGCTGTGGCTTGGATGAGTGTCCCCCAAAGGGCCCATGTGTTAAAGGCTTGATCCCCACAGTGGTGCTATTGAGAGGTGGGGCCTAGGGATGTACTTAGGTCATTGCAGGGGGGCATGCCCTCAAAGGGAATAGTGGGACTCTAACCCTTCCTTATTCCCTTTTGCTTCCTGGCAGATGAGGTGGGCAGTTTTCCTCTACCATGCACTCCCACCATGATGTGCTGTTTCACCAAAGACCCAAAACAATGAGCCAACCAACCAAGGAAAGGAACCTCTCAAACCATGAACTGTAATAACCTTTTTCTCTCCATAAATCAACTGCCTCAGTCATTTTATTATAGTGATGGAGAGCTAACTGACACAACAGTGCAAACTTGAGTCAATACAGAGCTGTGTCAGCCTCCTGATGATGATAATCACTAGGGTAGTCACTATGAAAATTATGTTGCTTTAATAGTCATAAGTGGGTAATTCTCAAGCAATAAATCCTAGATTTTTTTAATAAGAAAGATTGCTAGATTTTTATTGGAAGTGCATTCAATCTATAGATATGAGGAAAACTAGTTTCTTAATAATCAAAGAACATGGTATATATCTCAGTTTATTTAAGGCCTTCATTAATTCTCTTAATATTTTACAGTTTTCATAATGCCTTGCAAATACTTTATTAAATTTCTAAATATTTCAGATTTTGATATTAGAAAAAGCATTGTTTTATAAATTTAAATGGTTGCCTAATGTATAAAATAATACACAAAATGCCATTAGTTTTCTATATCAACTACTAATATAATCTTACTAAGCCTGCCATGTAGTTCTTTTATTCTGTAAGTTCCTTAGGATGAAAATAGAAGCAGTTTTGCTTCTTTTTTTTTCCAACTTGTATGCTTCGTCCCTCCTCAACTCCCTTACTGCACTGACTGGGACCTCAGATTCAGTGTTGAATACAAATGATAGGAATGGATACCACTACTTTGCTCCAGAACTTAGGAGATATAATATTCAGTCTTCATGCTTGAGTATTAATGTGAGCGGCAAATTCTCCAGATGCCTTTTATCAGGTTGAGAAAGTTCTCTTATTCCTAATTTATGAAAAAGATAATATATCATGACTATAAGCAGTTTGTACTGGAAATGCAGGATCAATTTAACATTTGAAAAATCAATCTGTAATTCATCATCTTCACATTAAAAAGAAGAAAAAAAAAACATTTGACTATGTCAGTTGGCACAGAAAAAGTTATTTGACATTCTAGAACACCCATCTGTAATGAGAATCCTAGATTTTTTATGTTGCAAACTTATAAGAATACAAGAGAATTTATTGTTTACCCTGGAGAGTAAAGGAATAGAATACAGATTTTTGTTGACAAAGCCAGTTGGTGATTTGGCAAGCGTTTTTTCGGTATCTGTGCCTCCAAACTAGCCAATTGTTATTTGTATGCTGTCGTCTTTCAATCAGTAACTCCTGAGGGCCAGCCACATTATTTCCATGGTTGACTCATGAAAACCTTGACTCCTGGTCAGGTCAATGTTACCTGGAGATGAAAGTGGCCTGGCCAAAGTTCATAGAGTGCGACAGTGACATCTATTCTGTGTCATGGGCAAACTTCCCAGAATGGCCCAGACAATATCATCAGGGTTTGGGAAAGAAAGGGATGTCCAAAGACCTCTCCGTGGACTTTCCATAGCCACATTGTCTGATCTTGCTCAAAGCAACTTGTGCCCTCCCGAGTGCACTTTACCCCTGATCACCTCCTACGGGACACACAGTGGAGGAGGTGAGCGAGGCTCAGTGTCCTGTCCATATTGTGTGGATGTCAGGGAGTCACTCGCTTCTCCACACACGGGTGGAAATCTGGGTTGACTGTGTTCAAGCACACTTTGCAGGCAAATAAAAACCTCCCTCTGACCTCACGGACTTCTGGGAAAATCCAGGTGGTCCTTTAACCCCAAATCTGCAGTGGGGACTGTGGATTCATGAAGCCGAGTGTTTGATCCTGAGGCATGTACAAAACCAGATTGGAACATGGTATACAGGGAATTAAACCCAGGTAGCAAAGTAGTGTCATGATCATGGGCAGATCATGGGTAGACTTCATTCATGTTGTGTTAGTTTCTTGAGAAAGGTCACTCTGTCTTCTCAGGACTGGAAGGTCTCCTGGGCGTGAGCCAAAGCTGTGCTAAAAGGTTTGAAGCAGGGAACAAGATGAACCTCAGGGAGGCAGGTAAGAAGTGACCCTGAGGACTAAGTAGGAAGGAAAAATTTTTCTGCTGGCTCTATAAGAAGCCAGCAGCATAAGCCACCACCTGCCAGCACAGAGGCCAAAAAGGAGCCACTACATTGGAGCCATGGACTTTGAAGGCCCAAGGGCTCCAGTGTTGCCCTACAACTGTTTAAGGGCACAGCCTGGCCAGAGCTGAGTGAGTCAGAGTGAAGATTCCCAGCCCTGCAGCCATGGGGTCCTGCAACTGATCACACCAGACACCTCGATGTCAGTATCACAATCTCTGGATACTTGTGGAGCCAACAATATGCTAACCACCAGGCCCAGCACTTTACATGTTTATCTCATTTAACTCACAACAGCCTGTCCCTGTTTTAAAGATAAGGAAACAGGCTGAAAATGCTGACCTGTCCAGATCAAAAGTTTGTAAGTGGTGGAGTTAGGATTTGCAGAGAGGACACTGGCTCCAAATCTCATTTACTTTGGTGCTACATTGGGCATCAGACATGCATGCATACACAGACACACACACACAGACACACACACACACACACACACACACACACACGAGAGAGAGAGAGAGAGAGAGAGAGAGAGAGAGAGAGAGAGAGAGAGAG